GTGTGTGATAACAGGAAGTGTTTTCACACTGAAACCGTGTAATATTACTGATTGAGCACACAGCGCTGTCTATGAAGCACACTGATCTATGTAACAGTGGTTTTGACAGGACATGGTGAAAATGTGTATTTACATTTACAAGGGGTTGAATTTTTTTTTTTTTTTTTTAATCAGCTGTATTTCTATGTAACATGTCAATCGTGTTATCTGGCTTTTAATACATTATTTTAACTGCTAGCTGGCAAGTGCCATTCTAAGTGATGGCTCATCCACTGCATTGGCTGACAGAATCACCTTTATTCTGCAGTACTTCAAATAAATTTAGAATAAAAAGATGCAATTTCCAGACAGGATAACTTGTAGTGAATGTTTGGTAGGTAAATATCTCATTAAATGTTGCAGCTCAGGTGTTAGTGGAAATGACTAGTGCAGCCTCTGCTGAATGTGGACATAACTGTTCTGAACGGCAAGAGACTGAGTGGTGGTGGGGATCCCCGCTGTAGGCTGTGTCCTCTCAGAGCTGTCTGACTCCCATGACTTCACCTGGTATTGTTAGGCTCAGCATGCAGTCTGGTCCCACAGTACAACAGCCAGCCTGACCTCTGAGGCCTCTGGTTTGGTCTGTGAAGGGTCTGGTGACTGCAGGGAAATGTGGTGACTGCAGTGAAAGGCAGAAGGAAGTGACAGAAAATGCTCCTTTATGTTGTTATCCTGCCAGTATGTAACCTGTTACTACTAATAAAGGCTTCACTTTATGACTGCTTTTTACCCCCATAAATCCAGCAGTTGGTCTGGGCAATCTACAGGGCATACTCTCTATGTAAACTCATGAAATCTACACACAACACATTGCCTGTATTACTTGATCATTTCAATTGCAATTCAAAACGTTTAATTTTTTTTCTGTTAAGATATTTGGCTATAACAAATATTGTTTTTCTGTGATAGGGGTCAGCCCAGGCTTGAACCTGGAACCTTCTTGCTACGAGGTGACAGCCCTCAAAACTACCCCAAAGACTTAAAATAGTGATTTATATTAATTTAATTACTGAAATTAATCTAAGAAGAGTTTCTCAGAAGTTAAAAGGAATTATTCCTTACACCTATTAAACTACTAGGGGTAAACATCTTTGAAACTAAACCTTACAAATTATTTGAGAGAACAATAATATTGGTGTGTTAAGACTATATCTGAGTACTTGTCAGACCAGATAAAAAGTTGTCAAGCCTGTAGTGGTGGTGACCAGACCTATTGGTAAGGAAAGCCTACTTTTGTTGTGCAGGTGGCCCTCTGTCCTATTCCCCCATGTGAAATCCTATAATGCTACTCTAAAAACTATAATAAAATGTTCCCTTGTAGAGTAGTAATGCTGCTATGTGAGGTCTTTAAGACTATCTATGTACGGGTCAGTTGTTTGATCTAGGCGGAAGCAAGGTGTCAAAAGTGGGTGGGACTTAGACTCGGAAGTGTGACTCATCAGGGCCATAAGTCACTCCTCTTCACACCTTGATTGACAGATTGTGCATTTTATATCTTTAGCCTATTAGGACATTATAATGTTTGAGCTTGATCACTTAAGTTTTCTCTCCCCCTTATGGTAAACTTATATACAGTAAATAGCATCATATGGTAACGGAAAGCCTGATACCAGCCTCATACCAGAGACGATTTGACTTCACTTAGCTTGAAGATTTATGGTGACATAGTGAAACTGTGAGAAGCAGTACTATACTGTACCTAGGTGATGCCTTTGTCTCATGTCATGCTTGCATTGTTAGCAGTTCAAACATAGTGTCACTTATTTCCCATTTGAATTTCTCACTTGGTTTCAAGCCCAAAGAGGTAAAACCTCTCAATATTAAAAGCTGAGAATATCCTAAAAAATTTAAACAGATCTGTGTCACAGTCCCAAGCAGCTCCTGGGGTAAAATGCTGCCTTCAGACCATATAACAGATATAACAATAGCCAGTCACAGGGGACCTTTTACTTCAGAATTTTTTTACTTTTGAAATTGTAGGTACATTTTTCTAATAGAACTTGTGTACTTTACTGTACTTGTAATGGAGCATACTTCCACTGCTCGGCAGACACATTCAGATTTCTGCCACTACTCAGCCACCAATGAGTATTCACCAATATCAGTTATATCAAAACACATACTGCACGGTGGTGCTACATCAACAGCTCACCATCATCAGCACAGTAACAACAGAGGTTAGACAGTTCTGGCCATTTTCATTTTTGGCCACTACTACAGTTTTTGACAAATAACTAAGATTTGAGTCTTATAGACTCTAGTTACTTTATAAGCTTTAGTTACTTCTCATACCTTTAGTTCCCCTTAGTTACCTTTCATACACTTATTTTCCTTTTTTATACATATTACAGCTGTATTGATGATTGTCCAGAACTACTGAGCTTTGGTTATTGTTAATACATTTATTTTCCTTGCTTATATATCTTCCACTTGTATTGATGAGAATCAAGTAGAATCTGCTTACTTTGAATGCTGTAACTTCTGTAGAGACTAGCTGTCTGCATCTCTTTGTGACCAGACAGCCTATTTACATTTTAGCAAAGGCCTATTTTACACTCACACCTCAACCCACTTAGCATATCCCAAGCTTTGCTTTGTCTTGGGATGTCCTGCAGAGGCCAGGGGCTCACCACCTGAGAGACACACACTCACACACACACACACACATACCTAGATTTACCATATTTCAACATGGAAGTGCGAGCTCTGGCTCACACCAGATGACCAATAGGATCACAAACTATTGAAGGTTGCACCTCTGTCCAGGGCGGAGCAGCCCAAGAACATAAAATGTATTGTAAGACCTTAATTCGGGGTCAGTGGATGGAACTCCTGCGGGAGCTCTGTCTCTCTGATCCCAGCGCTGTAAGGCCTACCTGTGATCAGACTTTCAGTAAACTTTCTGTTGATTTTAAACAGTCCTCTCCTGTCCTCACTTCTCGTGCTTCCAACAAAAAAATTGGGTTAATTTCTAACATAACCAAAAGTTTGGACAGGTGGAACTGTGCCACCCACTATGTTCACAGCAAAGCAACGACTTCCTCTAACACCACTAGAGGTGACCCCTGACTGATCTTCCACTTCCTTAAACCGTTACTAATGTGATGATGCACATGGTGGAGATAGGAGAGCTGTGTTTATTTTTAGATTAGAGCACAGTACCATGAAACATTGCCTAAATACATTTTCCAGTGACTTCTCCATCAGTACAACACCTACAAAGCATTTAGCATAGGTTAACATGAGGCAACTGTCATCCATTGAAATGAATGATCGCACTGGCTTCTGCTGCGATAAGTATGCAACTGTACTTCAGAGCAGGGAATACACATCAATGTGTGATTGCACTTCATGTGCAAAACACTGTTTCAGGAATCAGTAACTGCTTAGGCCTACAAATCAGTGCCATCAGCACATCATCAACAAACCCTAAACACAAGGATAAAACCTAGTATTCTAAATCTTATCATTTGGTATGTTGTCAGTAATAAGGAGATTAAAGTCAGTCTTACAATCAAGACAGCAGAGTAAGAGAAGCAGGCGGTTGGCGTGACAACACAGGAGATGGTTTCATTTGAGAAATGTAGAACAAATAAGCACTGAAGATTAAACAAAGGATTTTTTGTGAAACAGTTTTACAGCGCCCCTAAGGCTGTGACTATGTTTCAATCATCAGATTGACATAAGAATTTAGTTTTATTACATTCACATGCTGTATTTTTCTGTTTCTGTTGTCAGATAAATAAGTATAAAATGACCGCATTTATGCTACTTGTTGCCAATAGTAATTCCACGTGCTGCTGCGCTGAGGTCCTTGATGACACCACTAGTTTAAGCTGCAGAAAACACAGATCAACACCGGTTGTGTTATCAGAGTGAAAAACAGCTCTGTGGAGTGTGAAGTGTTCTGGTGAGGCTGCAGCACAGAGAGAAGGCTGTGTCTGACTTGACTGGATGAGCCTGGGACTTGTGTTTCCCTAATGTGAGGGGGAAAGGGTGCTCCCTCAGTCCTCGTCACTTCCAGCTGTAGCACTTTTATCCTCGAAGTCACTCAGACAAATAGAGAGATGTAATTTGGCAACGCTTCAAGTTCTCTCTCTATAAAAATGCTCAGTACTGTAGCTGCAATTGCGTACAGTGAAATTTTAGCAGTCTGCAGTACATGAACCACAGCTGAGTGGTAATGAGAAGTTAACTTTTTTACTAAGAGATCACACTGCAGTAAGGGCCAAATAAAGTGATCTCTCTCATTTCTCGTTAAGATAGCAATGCTCGCTCCTTAGTGTGTCAGATAGAGACACATATGTTATGCCTGGATCTTAGTGTGTCACACATATGTTATGCCTGGATAAAAAACATCCACCAGTTTTGAGCCTACAAACTCTTTAAACCAGTAGAGGACTAACAAACAGAATCCTGAATGGGTCACCTCATTTGTTTAACTGTTCCCCCTTCAAGGTGTGACTAATCACCAGCAAATGGAACAGGCCTTCAGATACCGTGTCCTATGATCTCAAAAGAAGGAAGTGTCTGAAGAGAAGGCCCCTGCCAGCCTGAACTCCTCCTTCATCAGCACACAGAAGAGGCGCTGGGGCAGAGCTTTGGAATATGGCGTTGGCCGGGGGACACATGTACGCAGCAAAATCTCCCGGCCTGCCGGAAAAGGGAAGTCAGGTACTTTGGTGCTTGCTCCAGTTGGCTTGCTGTCATGGCCCAAGTCTTCGTCCAGTGGTGCGAGGGTGGTGCCCTGGGGGCAGAGAGAAGGTGACACATTAATAAACAGCAGGGAAGATGCTGATGAGGGCTGTATGTACTTTGAAAACCTGCAGCCTGATGCACCAGTTCACTGGCAGTGTTCTTGGTGGCCCAACCCACTGACAGGTATCCAGACAAGTGTCAGAGCCCTCAGCTGATAAATTATTTAGTTGAGATCTTGTCTCCATGTCGATGCTTCTTCTCTTGGTTTTATTTTTCCTCTCCACAGACTGCAGAGTAGCCCACAGCCTGGATATTTCATTTTAAACTAAATATAAACGCACCTCAGCTTGTGTCACCAAATCTGGTGCAGCAGGCTGCTGAGTTATACTAGACTGGACCACCATGGCATAGGATGGTCTCCTAAACTGATCTTTCCATGAAGCAGAAAAGGGGCCTTACTCAAGAGAGACACACACGGGGGTCACACAGTGTGATTGTGGTTACATGCACACTACTCACTGTAATGTGACATCTAATTTTTCATCATATTTGGCAACTCGTTTAAGTGGGTATCCAGTATTTTTCTGTGCTTATAATTCAGACTGTTTTCCGGGTTTGTCATCAGTGTCTGCTGAGTGTCTGTCTTCACCTCCAACATGAGTTCTGCTAACTGGTGTGGATGAAGTCACACTGTTGTCTGACTACTGCTAGTTTTGGTTTCATTAGTAATGCTACACAAACAACTAACACTCAAGGCCCCTTCCTTATTACTGTTGTCATTTAGGGATCTTCAAGGCCCCCCAAGTTACTGGTTTTCATGACTAGATCCAAAAAATGAGTCAGGCTGAGTCCAAATGATATTCAGTCTACTCAGGCCTGGGGTCTGTGTGTTGAGATCCTAGCAGATGCATGAAGCTAGACAACCATAAATGCTGACACTCGTACCTACAGGAAATTACAGTCAGCACCCAACACGACTTTCCAATGTTTAGAGTGGGGGGAGACAACCTGCGCACCCAGAACAAACCTGCGCCAGTATGAGGAGAACACGCAAACTCCACACAGAAAAAGGCCAAGCTGACCAGAAGGGCACCCTTGCTCTGAAGCAACAGTGCTGACTACTGCAACACTGTGCTGCCCCTGAATCTAATTCTCGTCAACTACACTCAGATCGTGTCCTACAGAAGTGGATTTGGGCCACTTTAAAAGACTGAATTCAGACTTCAAACTCAAAATTCTGACTTTAAGTTGGCCTTCATTACAGTCATAATTCTTAGGAAAAAAAGTAAAAATTCTGAGTTTAAAATCACTTTAAATCCTTCATTCTATAACATTCTCTTCTCCCAGCAGGAGCATGGCATAGGGGGCGTGGCCTTATCACAACATAGCGTGACATGGAGGGTCAGAGGACACAAACAGACCATAGAGTGAAAAGATTGAGAAGCTTATCTCAAATTATCTCTGCTGGAGAAACAGTCTGATGGAGTCTGACGCTCGTAGAGATACCTGAGCTGTAGATGAGCTAGCAGCGCTATAGGACAGGCTCTGCTGAGTGTTTCTCTCATCTGTCAGTAACATAGCAGTTACTATTCAACTAATTTTTTTAAAGCAACAGTAAGTACATTTTTTAAATTAAAATAGCTTAAAAATCATGTTAAATCAATCAACAACACTACTAAATGCCTGTATACATTGTTTTTCAGATGAAAAAAGTGGTTTTGCAGTTTAGTTCCTCTTTAAACTAAGAATTCTGAGAGAAAAAGGCACAACTCAATTTTTTTTTACACTGGCCCCAATCCTCTTCCATATGATCACAGAGGACTGGGTCTTTTTTATATAAAATATAGGACCTCTGAAGACCTACACCATCATCCTTTCACTTTGTGTGAACTGACATACAGCACATTGATGATCAACCTGTTTTTTATGCCTCCACACTGACAACAGCTGTGGCCAGAGGCATTATGTTCGTGGTTTGCCCATCTGTACGCCTGTCCCATTCTCATGAATGCCATATCAGGATTTCCTATGGGGAATTTCTTCAAGTTCTTCAAAATACCAATTGGAGTGGCCTGGTTGATGGAGGCATAGAATTCTAGTTCTATATACATGACATGAATCAAAGATGCTACTTTGCATACTGTGATCAGGAACAGGGATAAGGTGTTCACATACCACATTGGCACAGTTACAGAATAATTCAACTAGCACGGGCTATACTAACAAACCATGGTTTATTTACAACATTAGTTTTATATTAATAGCACTGCCCATCAGTTACTGCTCATGGCCAAGGTCAGAGCTATGAACATGAAACCCAATGTGCAAAAAAACTGTCTTCTTGTCTGTACATGTAAACTTCTTAAAATCTACAGTTTACAGCAAGGCTACCAGCATGAATGAAGGTAAAACACTCAATGTCCACCTGAGACTTACTGCATTCTCCATTAATGAAGGAAGACGTGCTTTGACAATGGAAGGAAGGAAACGAGGAATCATATGCCAATACAGGAATAAATCCTCAAATCTCTCCTAAATATCAGGACACTAAAGGAAGGAAAACTGTAGTGACTTTGAGTAACTTGTATCTCTGTTTGGGCTTCATGGATAAATGCAGTATATTTAATGTTGTAGGGGACATGTTAATCAGCAGGATTGCCATGACACAAAATAGCTGAGCTGGAGGTACAGGGATTCAAATTCTCTCTGATAGTGAAACAGAAGCAACAAGACTAAAACTACCACATGTAAAATATTTCGCTGTGCAAACCTCCATGTCAAAAAACAGGCTTTCAAAGTATTAGAAACATGAGAGGAAATGAAAATCAGGCATAACATTATGACCACTGTCAGGTGAAGTGAATAACACTGACTCTTTGTTACAGTGGCACCTGTCAGTGTGTGGGGTATATTAGGCAGCAAGCGAACAGTCAGTCCTCATAGTTGATGTGCTGGAAGCAGGAAAAATGGGCAAGTGTAAGGATCTGAGTGACTTTGACAAGGGCCAGACTATGATGGTGAGATGACTGGGTCAGAGCGTCTCCCACACTACAGCTCTTGGTGGGTGTTCTTGGTCTACAGTGGTTAGTACCTACCAACAGTCTAAGGAAGGTCAAATGGTGAACTGGAGACGGTCATGAATGCCCACGGCTCAATGATGAAGAGGTTGATCTACTGTAGATTAAACTTTTGACTTCCATTTGTACTTTTCAAAAGATTCAAATAAATTTGTTAAAATGGTTGAAAATGAGAAATACTGTACACTGGTCTCTATGAAGAGAAAGAATCAGGGGCTGTAGTGGTGATATCACACCTAGAGTGGTGAGGCTGTTGAATTTGTCTAAAAGATTCTCTCTAACTTGTCCTCATGACCACAGTTTTCACTCCTTTTACATAGGTTTTTCACTGAATTGTAGACACATCTGTGCTCTTCCTGACGGTAGAACTGTGGAAGCAAATGGACTCACAGAAGATGCACAGTGCAGAGTGACACGAGTGCCAACCAACTGCCACATGGACTCCTATGTAAACGGTATTAGGCAGGTGGTCATAATGCTATGGCTGGTGTAAGGATTTCCTTGAATGGGCATGATCTCCAGGCCGTTTGCGCGTTCATGTGAGCTTGCCTGACATCCCCTGGAGCCATTTTAAAAGCAGAATATTTCAACTGTGCCTGGTTTTGTGGAAATATTTTCTCCCTGTTGCCAAACTGTGACCAGAGGATGTGGAGAAAAATACAGGGCCTGAGGATACTGCATGTCCAGGAATGTTCCTGTACAGGGACTTGCTGTTTTACTTGCTGTCTAACCTACAAGCAGGCGGCCAGTGAAGACCCCGGCAATGGTAAATTATCAGCTCATCAACGCTGGATTCCCCTGGAGCACAGTACCTGATTGTTTTGACTGCATGATGCCAGTGTGTCTGCTACATGTGATGTGTTGCTGGTTAACAAGCGGATTAACAACCTATGATGTTATTGTTGGTGCTACACTACCTGTTGGAATCAATTTCACTACTTTGGGGCTGATGGCACTCCTCGGTGTGTGACGTCACAGTTCACTCGGAGTCAGGTTTTTTCTCTTTTGTCTCTTTTTTTGCTTATTTGTGCCGTGTTACAGCAACAATTAAGACCACAAACTTTATTTATGACCGGGCAACTTTGTTACTGCTAAGAGGGCGCAGTCTTTTTGGAGATTTTGAGCATGTTGGACTCGTAGCCAGGCTGACCCCCATTAGAGAAAATCCGAGAACAACAAACTAAAGTGGAGACGAGGCAGACGGGGGGGAAGTCGAACGGAGGCTCCGGCACTTGGTTAGCAGCGGCAGGCTAGGCCTCCCCACTATACTGTTCGCAAATGTCCACTCTGGATAATAAATTGGATGAACTCCACGCTCGGTTTACCTTGCAGAAGGACATACAGGACTGCTCCCTACTGTGTTTTTGTGAAACATGGCTGGGAAAAGAGACTCCCGATGAGGGTATAACTCTGGATGGTTACTCTGTGTTCAGACAGGATTGCTGCAGCGCAAACAGTAGGAACGGCCGCCTTCGTCAAACTGTCCTGGTGCACAGACTGTAAGATTATATCTTCTTATCACATCTGAAGATGTGGAATATTTAACACTAAAGCTAAGGCCATTATATTTACGTAGGGAGCCGCAATTATCATTGTTCAGTGTAGTGTACGAGCTACAGAAGTCCATCAGAGCTGCAAAGAGAGCATACTTCCAAAAACTGGAAAGCTACTATATCAGGGGTGCCCAATATGTTGATCGCAATCGACCGGTCAATCGCAAAGGTAGTGTTGGTAGATCGCATGCCATTCAAAAATAAATTAGATGTATCTGGCATAAAACACGTGCCAAATGTTAACATGCAAATGGTCAGTGTGACGATTCGCTGTGATGACCCCTAACAGGAAAAGCAGAAAGTGTCAAGTGTCATTCATATATAGCCTATCATCCATCCTCCCTATGGCATTTGCTACTTGATTGACATGCAGGGCATGCTGATCATTGACTTAGTTCTGAATTTTAGCTGTTAGAACT